TCAGCAGGATATTGGTAATTGTGGGATATTGGACTATATCTTGTAGCATATCATTTAATTGGGCTGGAAAAGAAACAACCTAGGATAGACTAGGTTAGTGCTCGTGCTCCCTGCCTGAGGGGGATCATGGAGCTCTGTAGTGGAGCATTTGTAAGGGAGAGCCTCCTGTTTGACCACTGGCTTCAAGTGTTCCTAGTATTCTTTGTCAAGCTCTGACAAATCTTAACATACTACTGACCGTCCAGAGTTTGCTATCCCTGCGACTTTGACTGAACTTTAAAAAAAAAATTTTTTTAGTCTCACTATATGGCCCAGACTGGCCTTGAACTTGCAACCTTTTCCTTCAACCTCCCAAATGCTGGGAGTAGAGGCATGTACCCACTCCACCTTCCTAATATTCCCAGTGTCAAACAATGTTATTATGTACTTCGTACAAGATTGGAAATGAAGGCAGACATTAGAAAATGAGATATTGGTATAAGGGAGAATCAGGAGATCCACTTGAGCCTAGTGTGGTGACTCATGCCTTCAATCCTAACACTTGGTAGGCTGAGACAGGAGGATCACATGAGCATGAGTTCAAGACCAACCTAGGCAACAGAGTAATGCCCTATCTGGAAAAGAAAAAAAAAACAAAACTTTGCAATTAGTTGGTTAAGGTCACAGCAGTAATATCAGTGGTAATAGGAGGGCTAAAGGTCTCTTGCCCTGACAATAGCTCCCAGGTCCTCCCGCAAAGCTGCTCACTGGACATGTGGTCTGTGTTGGTCTGTGCAGTGCGCCTACACCTACTTTAAGCCTCTGGAGACCTGCATCAGCGAACAGCACGACTTACACTGGCATGATGGTGTGAAGAGGTTTTTCAGGTGTCCCTGTGGAAACAGGACTATCTCCCTTGACAGACTCCCAAAGAAGCACTGCAGGTATGAGAAATGTTCATATATGATACTTCCTATACGGTACCTGGGAACATGAAATCATCATCCCACGCCTTCTGATAGCTCCTCATATCCCTGAGACTAGAATTGGGGTTTTTTTGTTGTTGGGTTTTTGGTTGTGTTTTTTTAAATATTTTATTTATTTCATTTTATATGTATGAGTATACTGCCTGCATGTATGTAACTGCACATGTTGTGCAGTGCCGCAGAGGTCAGAAGAGGGCATCAGATTAACCTTGGAACTGGAGTTATAGATGGTTGTTAGCTGCCATGTGGGTGTTGGGAATCGAATCCAGATCCTCTGCAAGAGCAGTCACTGCTTTTAACTGCTAAGCCATCTCCAGCCCCCAAACTAGAATTGTTAATTGAGACCCCTAAGAGGCAGAGCCGTTCCCCTTGTGCTACTCTTTCTCCCATGCTCAAAAATGAATGTGGAATGAACAAATGGCAGGATGTGCATGGTGACATATGTAGCGTAAGCAAGGTGTCCACCCCATGCATAGAAGAACAAGACGCTCTTCAGCCACCAGGTGGCACTTTGTTTTTTGAGACGAGGCCTCCTTGTATCCTCAGCTAGTCTAGAACTCACTATATAGACCAGACACCTTAATCTCACAGAGATTTGCCTGCCTCTGCATCCTGAGTCCTGGGGTTTAAGGCATCTTGCAGGACTTTTTTAAGAATATTTCTGGCATGGTAGCACACGCCTTTAATCCCAGCACTTGGGAGGCAGAGGCAAGCAGTTCTCTGTGAGTTTGAGGCCAGCCTGATCTACATAGCAAATTCCAGGCCAGCTGGGACTACAGGGAGACCCTGTCTCAAAAACAAAAACAAAAAAAGAAAAAAAAAGAATGGTATTTCCTTTGGCCTCTCTTGTCAGTTCCTGACCTAAAACAGTCTCTTCTAATAAGCATAAATTAAAACCCAGGTTGTATTCATCACTACAGTACTCATAGCCCTACTGTACAATCATCTGAAATTCCATCTAAGTCTCCAGCTTACCAAGGAGTTGAAGACCATTTCTCAATTCATTGAAATGCTTATTCTTAGTAGCTCTAGTAAAGTAGCTTTAACAATAGATATGGTATACAATGTGAGTACCACCTTGAACAGCTCTTCCTTGAATGGATGCTTACTTCCCCTAAGTGACATCCCCACCCCCATTGTCTTTATGTGTGTGTGAGGGAGGCAGAGAAGGAGCTGTTAATGCCTCAGTACTGAGTAAGCCTACTTTTTCTGTTTCAGAAATTGTGGCCTCTACAAATGGGAACGGGACGGAATGTTAAAGGTATATATGTTAATCTGTTTTCTATTACTGCAACAAAAATTACCTCAGATAGTCAAAAAAAATAATTTGTCTGTGCTCAGTCTATGGTCTCATTCTTTTGGGGCCTGTGATGAGGCAGCATGTCATGGTGGGAGCATGTCACAAAAGAGGCTTGTTTATCTCATAGCTGAGAACAAAAAGGTTTGGATCTTATAGTTCCCTTTAGGGACTCAACCCCAGTGACCTGAGACTTCCCACTAGGTTCTATTACCTTCCAGGAGGACCTCGCTGGACCAAGGCTGTAACACATGGGTATTTGAGGGACATTCATTTGCAAGTTATAGCAATGTATCACTTGCATTCTGATTTGTAATTAAGTTGATGACCCAGAAAAATAATGCTAAGCCATTTCTTATTCATTCCCTCTCCTTTTTCTAGGAGAAGACGGGTCCAAAGATAGGAGGAGAAACCCTGTTACCAAGAGGGGAAGAACATGCGAAGTTTCTGAATAGTCTTAAATAACTCTAACCAGTCATTTTCCTTCAACCCACCTTACTTCTTAAGGCTCTGGAAAAGCAAGAGATTGACGCTGTACTGTCCATTTTCCTGTTTGACACTGTGAGAAACAAATGCTTGGTCAGCCCACAAGCTTTGCCTGTTTACTTTCCTCCACTGTGTCATTTTTCACTATATTTAACATTGACATGTAAGTAGGAAATCAAGATACCCTAGTCTTTCCTGTCCTCACTGCAGTCCTGCCTTGGAGCACTCACTCAAATTTTTGCCCCCAAACTGGAAGAGGAACTGAGACCTGTGCTTCTGGGTCTCTTTTAAAGACTGAGTGAACTTTTTATAATAGTGAAGGTCTAGTGTTATATGGACACCAGAAGCAAAAGAACTAATTTAGGTCAATTATCTCCCTACTTGTGGATTTTCTTTCCTTGTGTGTAAAATGAGGAAAATTGGCCTACTTAACCTAGTATTCTATCTTCCAACGCTCAAGTTCCTGATGACGATTATCACTGCCTTTAATATAGTCTTGACGTGCTGACAGTGGAAGCCACGTTCCCTTTTTTCTTCTGTTATTTCAGCTTTGCTCTTTGAAATGAAGTCACTGAACCACTTTGCGTATCAGCTCATTGGTGTATATGGAGAGAAACAGTGCTCTATACTCACAATATTGGGGCCTCAGAGATAGAAATTCCTAAAACTTCATCATTTTTCAGTATGCATTTATTTAATTATGGCTTAAAGAAATTTTAACCTGATAAAAACATATGTAACTTGAAGCATGACTAAAAAACAAACTGTAAAGATGGAATCCTGTAGACTTGGTGGGTTGTAGGTGTACTTCATTATGTGTGTGAAGACTTAAATGTCAAAACCAAGAGACTGTCCCAACAAACATTTAGTTTGGGAAATTCCACTAGCTGGACAACCTAGTTTTTCAAACACTATTTGACCTGCATGAATGCTGGTATAGTTTTAAAGCTGAATAAGATGGTAGGGTTATTGTTTTGGATTTTGAACTCTAGCTAGAAATGTTTAGATTTCCTCAGACAGTGTAACATCAGGAGCTTAGTACTGACAGAAGGTAGTAATGGAAGATTTGGGTTTTCAAGAACAAGAGGTGCAATTCACAAATCTAAGGTAATACATTGGATTTCATACAACTTTGTTTCTGCTCTACCTAGGTAGAAGGTGCTGAAAGTAGCCTGTATTTTCCCTAAGATCATTTTCTAATCACTGTGATTTTAGGAATACTGTCCTTGCAGTTGGGTTCTAGCTTTGGTTTTTAACTAACAAAGAAAAGAGTAAATTACTTATTAATAAGAACCCAAAAGCACTTGAAACTGATATTTTTAATAGCTCATTTAGGGTAGATTCTTTCCTTTTATAAATGTCAAACAGCAATGCATATGAAATAAGTGATACAGCTACATAGACCTTGAACTGCAGCTTGTTCTTTGAGTGATCTCCCTATGCGAAAAATGGGTTCCTATGAATGGAAGGCATCACAGGAATTTGTATTCATTTGTATGCTGTCTATGTGATGTTTAATATATTTGCAAAGCTTCATGGGGACCTAAGTCTGAGTGCCTTTCTTTGTAAATTTTAATTTGCATCTCTAAAATAATTTAAAAATACAATAGAGCCACTTCTCCTTGCACTGAATGTTGGAAGGCATTTGAATACTCAGGGGGTAAAAAGGGATAGAGAGAAAGCTACCCGTCAGCCTTGAAAATCTTCATCAATGAAATTAGTCTTTTAATCCTGCTTTTTAAGTGTTTTTATCAACAACTATTAAATGCTTTCATACAAATCCACTGTATGTGTTTCATTTACTTTTTAAAATTTTTATATCATTTTTTAAATTTTATGTGTATGAGTATTTTACCTACATGTATGTATGTAGACCACTTGCATGCCTGGTACTTTGGGGGGTCAGAAGAGAGTGGTAGAGCCCCTTGAATTGGAGTTACAGCTGATTGTAAGATACCATGTGGGTGCTAGGATCTGAACCTAGGTCCTGTGCAAGAGCAACCACTGCCCCTAACCAATGAGCCATCTTTTCAGCCCTTCATTTACTTCTTAATCTGATATTGCTTCTAAATTGTGTCATCACAGGCCATCAGAACAAAATAAGTACTTGGCTATTAACAGAAACGGGCTGGCTGTGTCCATTATGTAGAACCTGGTTGTTCTGAATGTATAATAGTCATGATAGAGTTTTTTCTGTGCCTTTTTTCTTTAATTTCAGTTTGTATAATATATTTTTTCTTTGAAAGTTTTGTGCATTTTTTTCTTTAGATTTCTATTTTTTAAAATTTTTACTGAATTTCTGTGTATTTTACACACAAAAAAAATCATCTTTATACCCCCTCCCCCCTTCCCCTTTGGCATCCAACTGGAGTTCATGCATTCTGTCATTTGTGTTAAGGCCTATCATGTAAAGTTAGTGTCCCCAGATGTCCCTCAGTGTAAGTTCATCCACTGGGATCTAGTCAGCCTATCTAGAGTCCCTCCCTTTAAGAAGATCAGCTCTTCCTCACCCACCAGTAATCATCTGCCAATAATTCTTTGACTAATATTGGGGCCTGCTGCTCATTTCCACAGTTCTTTGATGGGTTTTTGTCTGCTTAAGTTTGCATGGGTCTGCATGCTGACACCATTGCTATAGGTTCATATGAGACATGTCCCAGGCACCTGTAGGACTATTTCCTTATGGTCACCTCCTCCCTGACTTAACAATTTTTCTGCTCCCTTCTGCCAATAATTCTTTGACTAATATTGGGGCCTGCTGCTCATTTCCACAGTTCTTTGATGGGTTTTTGTCTGCTTAAGTTTGCATGGGTCTGCATGCTGACACCATTGCTATAGGTTCATATGAGACATGTCCCAGGCACCTGTAGGACTATTTCCTTATGGTCACCTCCTCCCTGACTTAACAATTTTTCTGCTCCCTCTTCCACGATGATTCCTGAGCCCTGGGTGGATGGATATAGGAATCCTATCCAAGGACCCCACTCTGTGGGACCCTTAGTCTCTGCATTTTGGGCCATTTGTGACCTTTTGCAATAGGGTCTTTTTGGCCCTCTGCTGCTTGAGGGAGCTTCATTGATGAGAACTGAAAGATGCATGTTCCATGAGCCTTAGGTGTAGAAGTTGCACCCTTATGTGCTACTTAGGCTTGGGCGGTTCACAGACAGTCTCTGTGTGACCAGTTGTGGAATTCTGTAATTATCTCTGACTCTTGGAAAAGAAGCTTCTTGAATGGGTGGTGACTGGGGTACTTGTCTATAAATTTAAGGATCCATATGTTGCACATAGTAAGAAACTACATTTGTTTAGGGATGTGACAACCTTGGAGTTTTCTCTAAGATCTATGACCTTTCCGCCTATGCATTTGGCTATGTTTACAGTACCACACATGAGTTTCTTCCAATTGCGTGGGCTCTAAGTCCAATTAGGTAGCTGTTGATTACCCCCAAGATAAAAGTGCCACTACTGCACCAGTGTCATTTGCTGTGCTGGTCGTTGATGAGGTTTTTAGGCCTTGAAGCTGGCCATCGATGCCTTCCAAAGCTACTATGAGAGCTCGATTTCAAAGGAGGTGACTTACAGGTAAGTTCCAGCTTCATGGCTCTGAATCCTGTGTCCAGAGTATGTCCTGTCTTTAGCATTTTGATCATACCTGTCTAATTCACTCTAGTGTCTCACCCAGAAGTATTTTCTAAGCTTTATTTTTTTATGTGCATGAGTGTATTGCCTGCATGTACATAAGTGCACCTTTGTCCTGCAGTGCCCACAGAGGATCCCCCTGTGTCAGATCCCCCTGGAACTGGATCCCCCTGTGTCAGATCCCCCTGGAACTGGAGTTATAAACATAGTTCTTAGCTGCCATATGGATGTTGATATTTAATCCTAGGACTTCTGCAAGAGCAGCCAGTACTCTTAACCACTGAGCCATCCCTCCAGCCCCCCCCCCCAATTTTTTTTTAAGAAGAGTTAATTTGGCTTACACGTCATAGTTCATCCTTGAGGGATGAACTTGAGGGAAATCAGGGCAGGAACCTGGAGGCAGGAGCTGAAATAAAGAATGGTGCTTACTGGCTTGCCCCTCTGGCCCATGCTCAGTCTGTTTTCTTATACAACCCAGGACCACCTGCCCAGAGATGACACCACCCACAGTGGGCTGGGCTCCCACATCAATAATCAAGAAAATACCTCAAGACATACCCACAGGTCAGTCTGATAGAGGAAATCCCCCAACTCAGGTTCCCTCTTCTTGGGTGTGTCAAGTCGATAACTGAAGCTATTCAGCACAATCTCCCTGTAGCCCCCAGTTGACCTGGAACTTGCTATAGACCAGGTTGGCCTGAATATTACATATTTGTCTGTTCCTGCCTCCTGAGTGAAGGGATTAAAGGCGTGCTTCACCATACCACACTCAACGTGTCATATTTGTTTCAGAGTATGATGCTTTGAAGGTTGACTGTGCTCCAGGGGATGGAGCATTTGGGGAACACACATTAGACTTGAGTGAGCCTTAAAAATAGTAGAGACCATGAAGTGAGAGAGGTAGGGAGGCAAATCTGGTTCTGAATGGAGGTGGGGAGGGGTTCTGAATATGATTAAAATACAATGTATGACATTCTCAATAAAACATTATTTTAAAAAATACACCTAAGATAAACACATCTGTCTTTCTTGGTGCTTTTCAGCTCAGCAGCATCCACTACTTTCCTGATACAAAACCCAGGTGTAAGAGTCTTTTTCTTAGATACTGGGAGAGAGGAGAATATTAAAAAAAAGGAAAAGATGAAAAGAAAAGTCAGAGGTGGGGAGAAGGCAGAGGTGGGATGAGGGCTTGGATGGGAAGAAAGGTAGAAAGCAGGGGAGAGAAAGGCTAGGAAGGCATCCGAGGAAGCTGTTACTCTCTGTCCCAAAGGGTTCTTATTAACAAGATGAAATGGGATAATGAATGGGGAAAAATATAGTAGAGCCACCCTTCAGTGTCTGTGAGTCTGGCTCCCCCTCTCAGACACTCAAGTCCATGGATGATTCGGTCCCTTGTGTAAATGGTATCATGTTTGAAATGCAATCCACACCAATTCTCCTTTGTCTGCAAAATCTTCTCTGTAGTACATAAAATACTGAATACAATGTAAATGTTACTAAATAGTTATATTACATTGTTTAGTGATAATGATGAGAAATAAACTAATGTGTTCAGCACTGAAACAACCATATTTGGCCTAACTCCACATTTGACACAGGGTTGACTGAGTTAAGAGGGTACAGTTAACCAATTCTGTATAGTCAAGGCATTTCTTCATGTCACAATTGCATTTCTAATTTTCTTTTTGTCTACATGTATATGCATTCGTATGTGTTTGCAGGTGTGTGTGCACATGTGTACATGATGTAAAGGTCAGAGTCCAATGTCCAGTGTCATTCTCAGTTGCTCTGTATCTTGATCTTTGAGATAAAGTCTCTCATTGAACTTACAGCTCATCAATTAAGTAAGACTTGCTGGCCAGTGAGTACCAGGAATCCACCTGTTTCTGTCTCCCTAGCACTGCAATTACAAGTGTAGTACCACGCCCAGCTTTTTAGGTGGGTTCTGAGGGGTCAAACTCAGGTCTTCATGTTTGTGCAGCAAGCACTGTAACAATGGAGACACCGTCCCAACCCCTATAATTTTCCCTTGTTCAGTGTCTTTAGTTTTGTTTTGTTTGTTTGTTTTTGTTGGATATTCCACCAGCAGCTCAAAGCCAAAATATTTCACCTAGAAGACATTATTTTACTGTCAAACCAGCTTCCATCTCCTCTACCTCTGACAGTCAATGAAGTTGCAAAACCCTCTTACCTCCAACCTGGGAGACAAACAGCAGGTCCTCTTTCATGTCCAGTTGGACATCAGACTGTGCTGAGCCTCCAGACACCTCACGATGCAGCTGCCACCCCCTGATGGAAGCTCCCAAGCTCTGGAAGCTTGAAGCCCTTGAGTTCGTCTCCCATGCTCTGGAAGCTGTGTCTTGTAAACCACGATTTTTCTCCAACTTGAGTCCCCCATAGTTGAAAATTTGGTCTTCACAGAACACGTCTTCTCGCATAAGTTCTGTGTTACAGAGCATTCTCTGATGCCTATTTCCTACAGGAAAAAATGCCGCATGCAGAGCTCCCACAAGCTGCAGTTCCTTGGCTTGTCTTACATTTTCCTCCACATTCCTTCTTTCTTTGGAGAACTTCATGTTGCTTTTCATTTCCTTATGCCTAGACCCCTTTTTCCTTGTGTTTAGTTTCATAACCCTGCTCTTTCCAATCGAGTTCTAGGAAGCTTTCTCTAATAATATTCCTTTCTTTTTTAAGTTTGTTTTTATTAAATTTTGTTGTATTTCAGACAGAATATCTCAAACAATCTGAATCATCTTTATAGCCCCGTCCCCACCAGCACCCTCCCATAACCCCTCCACTGGAACCCATATACTCTGTCCTGGGTGTTAAGGCTCACTGTCAAGTCAGTGTCCCCAGACATTCCCCAGTGCAAGTCCATCCACTTGTGGTCTAGTCAGATCCTTCTCATCTATCCATCCAAACACCTATCATTTTCTTTCTTTTTTAAAAAATATTTTTATTTTATGTGTATGCATGTATGTGTGAACATACGTAAG